AGCTGGCGGAGGATCCGGCGGTGGAACTTGCTCCGGACGCGGTTGAACTCCATGATGTCGGACGGATCCTCGTCCACCCAGAACCGCTGGAACTCCTGCATTAGGTAACCTTCCGCCAGAGAAAGTAGATCCGTTGTTAGAGCAGGGAGCAGGGGAGGGAGGGGCTTAAGATGTTTTAATGAAGTAGAAAAAAAACACAGGGGGGAAATACTCTGATACATGGGGAGTAAAGTGTAGGTGTGTGTGAGTGTGAGGGATGGTCTTTTACTTAAGGAGAAGTAGTAAGGCCACAGTGTGAAACATGGGACGTTGGGTGAAAGTGTGTGTTTTGTGTGTGTGTGAGTGTGAGTGTCCGTGAAGACCTTTAAAGTCAAAATAATTGTACCACAGTGAAAAAAATCTCTGTTACGTGAGTTCAAAGAGTGTGCATGTTTTTGGGTTTGTTGTCTGTGTGTGTGTGTGTGTGTGTGTGTGTGTGTGTGTGTGTGTGTGTGTGTGTGTGTGTGTGTGTGTGTGTGTGTGTGTGTGTGTGTGTGTGTGTGTGTGTGTGTGTGTGTGTGTGTGTGTGTGTGTGTGTCCTCACAGAAGGTCTGCTGCAGGTCTCTCAGACTTGGTGTTTCTGGAGCTACGTTATAAAGATGCGTCTTCAAAGCTCCGCTGATCAGCAGAGAGAACGCCAGGTCTGTGATGTTGATGCCCACGATGGCAAAGGAGTAACTGCAACAACAACATCAACAACAACAACAACAACAATACGGTGGATTACAATGTTTTTTTAAATGTCTAACTTCTTTCTCAAAAATGTCACTGTTTTCAAATTCCTGACTTTTTTCAAAATTCTCACTTTTTTCTCAAATCTCAGTAAAAATTCGGAGATTTCAAAAAATCCGGTCTTTATCAAAATTGCCTTTTTTTTTAAATGTTCTGACTATTTTTTCAAAATTCTCACTTTTTTTCAAAAGAAATTCCAAGATCAATTTTAAAACAAAATTTCCATCACTATTTTCTAATTCCTGACTTTTTACAACATCCTCGCTTTTTTTCAAAATGTTCACTTTTTTCAGAATGTTAACTTTTTTTCAAAATTCTCACTTTTTTTAAATTCCTAACTTTTTACATAATTCTCACTTTTTCGAAAACATTTCTCTAAATTCACATTTTTTTCAAAATTCTCCCTTTTTTCTAATTCCTGACTTTTTACATAATTCTCACTTTTTCGGAAACATTTCTCGAAATTCACTTTTTTTTTCAAAATTCTCCCTTTTTTCAAATTCCTGACTTTTTACATAATTCTCACTTTTTCGAAAACATTTCTCAAAAGTATCACTTTTTTCAAAGTTCTAACTTTTTTCACAATTATCACTTTTTTCAAATTTCTGACTTTTTCGAAAACATTTCTGACATATTTCCAAATTTCTATATTTTATCAATTTCCGAATACTTTTTTTAAACGTCTGAAAAAAATTCTGACTTTATAAGAATTCTGAGTGGATCAGCTTTCCTTTCTCTGTACGCTGTTCTGTTCTCTAATACTTTCAGTGTGAATCTATACTTCCTGAATCTGCTTCATGGTTTCCACTTTCTTTGCTTCATTTGTTCTATTTTTAATTCAGCAGGTGAACCTACAGTATATGTTCATAAAATAGTGTGTGTGAGCTTAACTGTGTGTGTTGAACTAAAACGGAGCATTTTCTGTCAGCTCAGATTTTATTCCTGCTTTTTTAAACTGCAGTATAGCTCATGTGTTTCAGTGTTGGTACACTTCCTGAATCTGCTTCATGAAAGGCAGGTTTTCCTACAAATAAAAACTAAATATCTTCTTCTTTTCTGAGGTCACATTGTTCTGTTGTCTTACAGAATACACTTCAGTAAACAACATCTTATTGATATTTATTTCTGTTAGCATTGTGTTTGACACTTACCCGATAGCTTTGTCGATGTTCTTCTGTTCCCACTCAGGGCTGTTTGTCTCACTGTGAAGGAAACACTGAGTCATGTTCTGTCTGTGGAACAACACTCATTAAAACTGCTTAAACTCACCAGGAAGTTCTTTGATAATGTTTAATGTGGGAACAGGTGGTACCGACGTATAAAAGTACAAGACTCGTACAAGTTACTTAATTTCTTTAAATGTTCTGTGAGGTGTTTGGATTCATTTTGTCTGGAATGCATTTTACTGAGGCCTTTTTAAGGTTAAATCTATAAATAAAAATAAAAAAGTCAAAAGAGTCAAGAGTTTTAACAAAAGTTTTTTTTTAAAGTAAAAAAAATAAAGAAATTGTCAAAAGTAAAAATTAAATAAAAAAAGTGAAATTAATCAAAGGTTTTAAAAAGTTAAACTTGTCAAAAGTAAAATAGAAAAAGAGTAACATTTGTGAAAAGTTTAAAAAGAGAATAACAAATAAAATAAATATTCGCAAAAAGTTAAAAAAAATGTAAAAACGGTTTTAATTAATTAATAACTGACTCTTGACAGAATTATTAACTTATTTTAATACTAATTATAATAACACACACACTATATTGTCGCCTGCCGTTTCTCTCTTATTAACTCGAATGTGGCGTTTAATATAATAATATAATAATATAATATTACCCAATCGGAAAATTGTGTTAAATAAAAACAGTTCCCAGACTCTCTCTGTGTGTTTTATGAGTGAGATGACGGAGCACAAATTAAGAAATGTGATGAATAAACAAAGTAAACGGTGCTCGGTGCTTTAAGCGCATGAGGAAGCAATGAACGCAGAGAAGAGAGAGAGAAAGTGAAATAAAGTACCTTTGCTTTCTGTGAGTGATCCCACCACAGTGCATGAGAGGTGGAGGAAAAGAAGAAGAAGTCTTTGTGAAATGAGGCGTCTCTGAGATGAGAAACAATACAAGCAGCGGAGATAAAGAAGTGAAAGACATCGAGCTGTGAGGATGGAGCTGAGCTGTGGGGGTGGAGCTGTGGGGACGGAGCTGAGCTGTGGGGGTGGAGCTGTGGGGACGGAGCTGTAGGGGTAGAGCTGTGGGGGTGGAGCTGTAGGGATGGAGCTGTGGGGGTGGAGCTGTAGGGGTGGAGCTGTAGGGATGGAGCTGTAGGGATGGAGCTGTGGGGGTGGAGCTATAGGGATGGAGCTGTAGGGGTGGAGCTATAGGGATGGAGCTGTGGGAATGGAGCTGTGGGGATGGAGCTGTAGGGGTAGAGCTGAGCTGTAGGGGTAGAGCTATAGGGATGGAGCTGTGGGGATGGAGCTGTGGGGATGGAGCTGTAGGGGTAGAGCTGAGCTGTAGGGGTGGAGCTATAGGGATGGAGGTGTAGGGGTGGAGCTGTAGGGATGGAGCTGTAGGGGTGGAGCTGTGGGGATGGAGCTGTAGGGATGGAGCTGTAGGGATGGAGCTGTAGGGATGGAGCTGTAGGGGTGGAGCTGTAGGGATGGAGCTGTAGGGATGGAGCTGTAGGGATGGAGCTGTAGGGATGGAGCTGTAGGGGTGGAGCTGTAGGGATGGAGCTGTAGGGATGGAGCTGTGGGGATGGACCTGT